TAACCAGGCAATAACCAACTTTTAGGTGAAACAAACTCAACAATTCTACATATGGTGAAGTGTTTTATCTCTTTTTTACACTATACTAAAAATCGGCTTAGGGCCGCCTCCGATTTGCACAAATTGGTTGAAAAAATCGGTCAGACGGGCTCCACGGCTAGGCGAATGGGCGGTGCCTAGGGGGGTCTAGACGCTCCTAGGCGGCCACGACGAGAATTTTACATTTTATTTTTATGTTTTTTAAATACTAATTATTTTATTTTGTTGTTATGTTTTTTTATAATATATTAATATTAATATTTACTTATGTGTGTAGATTTATTATAAGTTGAGGTACTTTTATTTTGTAGGTAGTAAAAATAAATAAAAATATTGTATTTAATTATATTTTTTAGGCCCATCTAGGCACTGTTCAGACGCCTAGCTTCTTCTACAACACTCGTTCTCTATTATACTTTGTATATAAGTTCGATTTTTAGATATACTTTGTATATAAGTTTGATTTTTAGACCCAATAACCTTATAATATCGTGTTCGTGCTCGATCTTATGTTGTCGACTCAGGCTCGGTCAGAAGGACTTGCTACTCTAGCCCAATAAGATACATTTAGCATAACCTTTGAGCACACAAGTTTTAGGTGGAGAAAATGGCGCCGTTTACCTGTCTTTATTATTTATTATTTTTACACAAGTCAATTATATATTTTATGTTTTGTGTCTCTTTTTTCTTGTCTATGACGTTCCTATTTATTTTTTTACGTGAATTTTGCAATAAGACGGTTTTAGCGGTGGTTCCCGAGGGTACTTACTGCTTCTCTTTTTTTGTCAAATCTTTTGGACAGATTTTTTTTCAAATTCTTTTGCCTCTTCATCTCTAGCTTTTGTGTCTTCTATCTCCTCTTTTCTTTCGTTTTTTCATATCTGATCTCCTATTTTTTTATCTATCTCTGTCTCGCGTTCTTCACCTGATCATCTGTTTCCTTCTCCCTTGTTTTTTTGTTTTTTTTATTCCATTGAATAAATCTTAAAAAATGGCGTAATTGAGTGTGGATAGAAGGAAAAATCGAAATTCAGGCCCTCGAGTACCCCGTCGTCGTCGGTATTCGGTCAACATCGGCGATCAAGAGGTCCTCGGAGAAGAAGGTGACCTCCGATGAGTCGGCAATAGATTTTTTTTTTTTTTTCTTTTGTGAGATTGTGAAAATAAAAAATCGTTGGACTTACAGGATGTGGGTTTCAGTGTAGTGAATGCGTAGTTGGTTAGTGGTTGTTTTCAATAATTATATTTTTTTGTTGTATATTAAGTGATTTAACCGCGCGTCGCATCGCGGCAAAATTAAAATTTATATTTTTCTCAGCTAACCTCTACTAACTAGTAGTAGCGGCAAGTAAGGGTCGATCCCACGAGGAGTGTGAATCAAATTGTGAATTTTATTGTATTAATTGAAATTATAAAAGCAATAAATGGGGGGATTGGATTAAAAAATAAGATATTAATTAAATAATTAAAATCTAAACAATACAATAAAATAAAAATAAAATAGAATAAATAAAGAGAAAATCTAATTCACGGTTCCGCCTACACCCTCGACTCGTCTAATCAACTTTGGTATCAAATCTCCCTATCTTATGGAATTACTAGCCCTAGGTAACGACACGGTCTGCTACCCAAATTTTTCCTTATTTTTAATTTAACCGCGAGACGCTCTGCGATTAAACTTGACTTCTTGTACAGTCTAGAAAAACGTTTTCAAGATTTAATATAATTAGCCGCTTTACGAATTAGAAAAATAGGCTAGACTAAGTAGTGAACTCAACCGCGTTCGTTCACTTAAATAGGCCGTGTTATCCCCGGTAGTTACCGTCTTCCGGTTGCCTCTAATGAATTAAACACAACAACAATTACGGATTGAAGGTCTAATTCAACTATAGATATGAAAAGTCTAATCTAGGTGATCAATCTAAATAAGACTCAACACATCATGATTAATTATTTAAAATAACACAAACAATTTCATAAAGATATTGAAATTATCAACCATGAAAATCAATCAAACACCGTCAAGTCGTAGGGTTCGACTTTCCCGAAACTAGAAATAAAAACTACTCTAACGTAATAAATAAAAAGCAAAAAAGAAGAATAAAGTTATCCTTCTCGTGTGCGGGTGCGGTCTCCCTCCGCTTCCGTCGGCTTTCTCGTCTGTCCGCGCGTCTGTGTTCTTTTTCTCTATTCCAGTTGCTGCGTGCGGCTCTCCTTTTCTTCTCTATTTAATATGATGGCGGCTCCGTGCGTGAATCTCTGTTTCTTCAATAATAATAACTAGTACGACACCCGTGTAATACACGGGTTGATTGAAAAAAAAATATAAAACATAAAATAATAGAAAAAACAAGTGCAAAAATAAAAAATACCAAAGTCGATATTATTTCATTCTATTTACACGGTATATAAGATAAGAATCCTATTTATTTTGGAGTTGGAAGGGATCGAATTAAGCAAAATCATATTTATTAAGTATTTTATTTTAAACAATTAGAGAATGTATCCGAACCAAAAGCCGAACCATGTAATGTTGCCAAATAAGCTTCCGAAGCGTGCGAGACACCCATGTAGGCTCAGGACGTTTTCAAATGTGGAGGGGAACGAATTAAGCAAAAATCATATTTATTAAGTATTTTATTTTAAACAATTAGGAAATTCATATTTATTAAGTATTTTATTTTAAACAATTAGGGAATGTATCCAAACCAGAAGCCGAGCATGTAATGTTGCTAAGTAAGCTTCCGAAGCGTGCGAGACAAACATTTAGGCTCAGCATGTTTTCAAATTATATTAAGAGGGGATGGGTGGCTGCGTTGTATGGCAAATAAATCCCCTCTTATTTCTTTTTAAGAGTCCTAAAATCTTCCTTTCAGTTAATGTGGTCCTCAATAGTAAATAATTATTCCTTGGCTACGTGGTTAACTCCTGGGCATTTTGGTAGCCACCGAAATTAATTAATTCTCCCAAGATCAACACTCCCATGAAATTGAAGGTCACCATTCTGGGCCCACACATAAATTTAAACAAACGACAAATCATCTTATGGGCCATATTTGTGTCTCTTTCCATGGGCCTATTGGGCTGGTATGGGGTACTGTTGTGTCAGTACGGGGTAGTACGGAACACCCCATATTCTACCGGTTGGAACTTCCGTTTAATATCTCCTCGTCCATAAAGTAGCCCAATAATCTGAAATAATGCACAAAAATATCACACTCAAATCCATCTAATAAATAAATAAGTCAAAAAATATATAAGTGCAATAAAAATTAGGCATATAAAAACACGCTAATAAATATATAAAATACACACTTTTTTCGACCAATCATGATTGGTAGTATATTTCTAGTTTTTATTTTTTTTTTATTATTATTTTTTTTCTAGTTGTTCATCATATGATTTTGAGTTGCATGGTAATTGATGTAATTAGAGATATACTCAGTTGATGTGAAAATGTTTGTGTCGTTTAATGGTTTCTGTTGTTTAATGGGTTGTGTATATATTTTTAGTTTTGTGCAAAAACTGATTGTGTAAATATTTAATGGATCCTTCATGTTTGAAATTTGATTTATTTTTAATTCGTCATTTTATCAGTTGGCATCTTCTTACGTGTTTTCTTTGTTAACATTTTTTTAACCATCTATGTAATTTCCAATTAAAAATTAGGATTATTTCCAATTAAAGTGATAGTAGGTGACAATATGTGTTTGTGTTGTCCTGGCCAAAAGATTATTTTTGGTCAGCTTTATCTTTTTTTTTCTTCATTTTTAGAATATTATCAGTTCTGTTCTGTTATCAACGTTTTTATTTGAGTAATTAGTGTGTATTTAAACCAAAATAATTATTAAAATTTGTTGATATTCACGTAGATCAATTCTAAAGAAATAAAGTTGAATGATAATTTTATCCAAAAAATAATTGTACAAATAATTTTATTGCTAATTAAACTAAAATAAAACTGTTGATAGGCATGTTGTTGATCAATTAATAGAAAAAGACAACTGAATAATTATTTTGTACATAAAATAATTGTGTCTACATGTGAGACGGTTACTAATTAATATTTTCTCAACTGAATTGCTACGTAATTTAATAAATGACTTTTGGGGTTGGTTTTTTATAAACTTTTTTTTTTATATAGGGTAGTTACATAATGGTAACATTGTTGGGCCATAAGGAAAGTGCTGATACTAATTGTTACAACTTGGGACATCAAATATAATGCTTGCCGTAGGAGGCAAGAATACACAGATATGAAACAAATTGCATGTAATATCTTTGTAGTGATGCCATTCAACGTCAATTTAGTAAATTATTTGGATCATTTTTTTTAGATAAATATCGAACTTAACTTTATATTCCCAATAAATTAAACAATTTTAAATTTACTTGTGCATTCGAAAGCTCGTGGAACTAAGGATCAATTAACTTTTGTCTCTCTTTCTTTGGTAAACATTGGATTATATGAATCAATCTATTTTGTCATATATTGAGTTACAAACTAGGTGAACGCATTTGACAAGATCACGATCGTATTTACATTTTTTTGATAATTTAATCTATAAATCATTCTAATAGCTTATAAGTACTTTTTAATTTAATTACACGTATCATTCTTCCTATGAAGAAGAAAATCAAAGCTTTGTAATATCCGTTGCTTTCTATAAATTCATTTAATCCCTTATCTAATAAATAACTTGTTGATACGAAACTTAAAAAGCTACATGAAGTGCAACATGTATCCTGTAATTAGGTGCTTGTTAAAAGAGAAACAATCAATTTTATAGGTTGGTCGACATTTCATCTGTACTGCCGACCTGACCCAAAAGAAAAATTAATTTTCATTATTATCAAAAAAGCTCTAATTCAACTTAATTTCAAATAAATAAAGTCGTCAAGTGGTAATATCACTAAATAGTCATGTATCTTTTAAAAAAATAGTCAATTTTTATGCAAGTATAAATTAATAGTCACTTTGCTCTGTAAAAAATTTGTAAAGTCAATTGTGCATAAGTTCCGATTAGCGGTGCCCATAATATCTATACAGATCAAGATGGTGACTAACACATTTTAGTGATACAATTTTTAAAATGCATGTAAACAATAAGTTTATAATTAGACACGACTAAATATGTGAAGGATAATTACAATAGCATGAACAGTGCTTGAGAGAGTATAACTAGGACCACGCGAGAACTTATTGTAAAGGAATTTTACGAATTAAACATTTGTGAGCAATACAAAGACTTTTATGGAGCAATTTTTACCGACCTAAAAACTAAAACTACTTTTTGCGTACCTAATCTTTTAGCTTATCTGTGTTGTCACTTGTCACTGTATTTCCAAAACACCCACTAATTAGTTATAAAATCCATAGCAACATAAGAAACGTGTTGTTTTTGTAAGTGTTTGTCCAAAGCCCAATTCTTCATAAATCTTTTTTCTTTTTTGGCGAATACTTGAATATAAACCAATATGAAAATAGAAAACGTCAAAATGAGAGGAAAAAAATAAAATAGTTCCGAGCCCAGAAAATGTGAAAAAGGGAAAATAATAAAAGTAGAAAACTGCGAAGTATGTGAAGAAAAAGTAAAAACTCTAGAGTCTACAGAAACCCTCCCCTGACCTGGACCTCCATGGCGGATTGGGTCTTCAAAATAATCATTACAAACTATGGAAAATACGAACCCGTGAAACCCTTTTAGCACTTGACTTTAATTCCTCCCCTAAGTCTCTCTCCCTGATCTAAAAGGGTTCCGCTTAAAAATTGGTTCTTTTTGTCGGGGGAGGTCATTTCTTACCTTTCACACGCCGTAGTTTTTTAGAAATCAAGATTCCTCACCATTTTTATCCTCTAGAGAGAGTGTCAATTTTAGGAATCCATTGTTTTTGTTCCGAGCTCATGGCTACTGCTGACCTCAGACAGCTTCCGAAGCCGGAGAATTTTTCCGATCGGGACATCCCCACGACGTCGTATTCGTCGTCATCTGCTTCAATCCCCTCAAATTCGAACAAGAAGAAATGGTCCAACTTTCTCCCAATTTTGGTGGGCTTAGTGGTGATTGGGGAGATCGCGTTTCTGGGCCGGCTCGACATGGTGAAGAACGCTGACCTGGTCAACTCGTTGACCGACTCGTTCTACCACTTCACCGGGGCCTCATCGTTTACCTCTTGGTCAGCCGAGGATGCAGTGGAGTCGGGCTTGGATCAGGATCAGGGTCAGGGTCGGGCCTCCGAGCCCGAGGAAAGCTGCGAGGCGTGGTTGGAGAAAGAGGACTCTGTACCTTATTCCAGGGATTTCAGAAAGGACCCCGTTTTCGTGCGCGGGGCTTATGAGGTAGAGTTTTTTATTCTGGTTTTGAAGCAAAAGTTATGCCTCATTTTTTGGCGATCATTAAATTTTGTTTTGTTGGGTTTTCTTTCGTGGGATGGTTTATCTTACAATCCAAGTTGGATTATAGCTTTATTTCTTTTGGAGGGAGTTAAAGATTCGTTAGTGCCAAACTATATGAATTTTCCAGATTATAAATAAGTAACCANAAAAAAAATAAAAAACTAATGCAGTAATCACAAATGTGATTTATCTAGCTATTGGTGCTTGTCGTGGGGATTTATTTGCAAACAAAAGTACGAATTTTTTTACTAACTTAGTACAATTCTTAGGGTTGGAATACCTGTGCTGTTGGGTGTAAGTTTGGGTCTGAAGTTGGTGCTGGCAAGAAAATTGATGCTGAATTCGGGCTTTCACACGAGCCTGGTGTTGCTAGGGTTCATAGGTCAATGGAGTCAGCTACATATTATTCCGAGAATGACATTTCAAATGCAAGACGGTGGGTAAGCACATGATGTGGTTATCTTTTTTGCTTTTCTTCTTTGGTTTTGTATTTATTGAAGCCATATCTGTGGGACTTTAAGACTATTGCATTTCTTGTTCTGAATCGTAGATCAAGATNTTTTCTTTAGATCAATAGATATTAGCATTTTGCTATTGTTTGGAGGATGATTTGAAGATCATAGAATCCCATAGTTTTGATACCATATTCTAGAATGATGTTTTTAAGAGTTTAAGATTTGAATACAATGATTATTTTGTTTTAATATGATTGGGGGATCTTATCATGCAGTTCAATCACTAATCTCTAGATGTTGTTCTGGAAATATTATAGAAGTGCTTCTCATTGTTGTTTTTTGTTCAGTATTGATAAATGGGATTGGGTAGAACTCATCCACAAAAGCTAGCTCAAAGGAAAAACGGTGCCTAACCTATAGTAACTAATCGATGTGGGACAAACATAATTCTAACAATTATATTGTTGTGGGGCCAGAAAATTGTCAGTAAAGTTGCAAATTCTGCTGTTCATTTCAAATATCCTTCAAAATGTTCCTTAATCTGAATCAGTTGTTTCATTCTCCTCTCCCTACATCTTTCGTGGCTTCTAACTATAGCTTTCAACTGGCTTGGTCGATTATACTTTTACTAAAATATGGTCATGTCAATTTTTCTTATGTTAAAGGAGGGGATATAAAGTTGTGATGACAACAAGCCTTTCATCTGATGTGCCCGTGGGATATTTCTCGTGGGCTGAATATGATATAATGGCTCCAGTCCAGCCGAAAACCGAAAAAGCCCTTGCTGCCGCTTTCATATCTAATTGTGGTGCCCGTAATTTTCGGCTTCAAGCATTGATTGCACTTGAGAAGGCAAACATCACAATTGATTCTTATGGGGCTTGCCATCGGAATCATGATGGAAGCGGTGAGTTTGTAAAGAATAGATTGGAAATTGCATACATTGCTTTATGCGTCCGTTTAATTTTTCATAGCGCTTTTCTTCTACGCTTTTAGTTCCTTTAGTTTTTCCTAGGAGTTTCCAATTTTACTTTTTTTTTCCCCTCAGGCAGGGTTCATATTTTAATTTTTAGTTTTTTTTTCTAGGATGTAATTAGTTTTTTTAGAGGTTTCTATTGTTTGCTGTTTTTTCTTTTTTTTTTTTTATATTTTTATTTTATGATTTAGTTTAGGGGACCAACTCTGGATTGTGGCTCTTTATTCAATACAGAGTCATCTCGATCTTTTCTAATAAAATATTCTTTTTAAATAATTTTGCCAGTAATAAAGTATGTCAATGAAGTAGATTGCCAGTGGCTATGCATGCAGACAGTTGATTATAGAAATGGAAATAAATTCTTAATTTGATTCAATTTTTTTCAGTTGTACTTTAATGTCGCAATGTGTTTTTTCAGTGGACAAAGTGAAAACTTTGAAGCGGTACAAATTTAGCTTGCCAGTGGCTATGCATGCAGACAGTTGATTATAGAAATGGAAATAAATTCTTAATTTGATTCGATTTTTTTCAGTTGTACTTTAATGTCGCAATGTGTTTTTTCAGTGGACAAAGTGAAAACTTTGAAGCGGTACAAATTTAGCTTGGCATTTGAAAACTCCAACGAGGAAGATTATGTCACAGAGAAATTCTTCCAGTCTCTTGTAGCTGGTAATTTTATACATTGTCTTACATCTTTCCTTTGGTTGATAAAAAAATTGATTAGGAAAATTGTGTATGGATGCATATTTTTAGAAAATGCTCTAGAACTTACTTAAGATAAATACTGTAATAACTTGTGGTCTTTGAGTTGAACTTGTACTACTACTCGGATTTAGTTTTGTAATTTGAGGCTCGATGTGCCGTTTTTTCTTAAAAAAAAAAATTGGCATTCTTCGTGCATTATAGGTTCCATTCCTGTTGTCATTGGAGCCCCTAATATCCAAGATTTTGCTCCCTCTCCTGGTTCGTTACTACATATCAAGGAGGTTAAGGATGTTGATTCTATTGCCAAGAGAATGAAGTATCTTGCTGAAAATCCCAAGGCATACAATGAATCATTGAGGTGTGTGTTTCTTACAATGATCTCATCATAATAGACTTCACTCCTAAACACATGAAAACAAAAGTTTTATAATTAAGATACATATCTCATACTACACATGAACATGATGTTTGATGTTATTAGCTTCCAAACTTGACAATAGGGATTGGTTTGTTATTTATATTTAGACAAAAATGCATTTTTAGTCCTGTTCGTTTAACGCCATAGCAATTTCAGTCCCAATGTTTCAACTTTTCACTTTTTCGACTTATGATTTAATGTTTTGATGCAATTTCAGTCCTTAAAAGACTGAAATTGCAACAAAATTCTAAATAACATGACTGAAACCGCAACCAAATTTTAAATTATAGTACTTAAATTGCTAATAACAATCTATAAATTTGGAAATTTGTTGCAATTTCAGTTCTCAATGGACTGAAATTGCCGCAAAATATTAAATCACATGACCAAAAGGCAAAATGTTAGAAGAATCTTGAGACTATAAATGCTATGGTGTTAAAGCAACATGACTAAAAATGCAATTTAGCCTAATATTTATTTATTTGTTTTTTATGCATAAGTTTTTGCAATTCATCCCTTTTTTTAAGTCATTGACACACCAACTTTTGATATCCTTATTTTTTTGTGTAAGGTGGAAGTATGAAGGGCCGTCCGATTCTTTCAAAGCTCTAGTTGATATGGCTGCAGTGCATTCTTCATGCCGACTATGCCTTTACTTGGCGACCAAGATTCGAGAAAAAGACGAACAAACCACCCCACAATTCAAGAAACGACCCTGCAAGTGTACACGTGGCTCGAAAACCATATATCACATTTACGTGAGAGAAAGAGGGAGGTTTGAAATGGAGTCCGTTTTCTTGAGGTACTACTTATTCTGCACGATTTTTTTTTTTTTACTTTCATTTCGCGCCTAACAACAAGAAGAGCAATTTTTTCCAAAGGCATTAATTTCTTCATCTATTTTAATACTTTTATTTTCTCATCATTTTGACATTCGAGTTTTATTAACTATATAGTATGCAGTGATTATTAATTCATCGAAATAAAAAATACAAAAATATCTTCGTAATCATTTGTTGCAGGTCGGACAATTTAACCTTGGAGGCTTTATCTTCTGCTGTATTATTGAAGTTCGAGTCTCTAAAACACGTGCCTATCTGGAAAACCGAGAGGCCGGAAAGCATAAAAGGTGGTAATGACTTAAAAGTCTATAAGATATATCCCGTGGGATTAACTCAGAGGCAAGCTTTGTATACATTTAGTTTCGGTGGAGATTCTGATTTCAGGCATCACATTGAGAGAAATCTGTGTGCCAAATTCGAAGTCATATTCGTGTAGGTTCGGTTTTTTGGGTTTTTTTCAGAAGGGATTTCGGGAGGGTCAAAATGCTCGGTTTTCTATGTGACCTAAAAGGGCAACATTTACTCACATTGTATCGATTGACCACGCACAGTGAACATACATTTTTACATGGAATATTAGTGCTAAAATTCTTATTTTTAGCTAAGAAAAAGTTGAGTTGAATTTTCGAGTTACGATACTTTTGGACATGTTCTATTGGTGACTAGGATCTCTATCTACTAGAGTTCTGAGTTTTCTTGTTATAGACCAAGTTTCTGTTTTCTTTTGTGGACTATCATATCATATGTTGTACTAACTTCTAGATATATTGGTGGTAATTGAGATCATAAGAAACTCTAGTTTCCAGTTAGAATGTGCACTCAAGAGGATTTTTCTTGATAATCTGTGTTTGTGGCTATTTTCTGGCCTTTATCTGGCTCCATATGAATCTTCTCTCTCTTTTCTCTCTCCCATATATATATATATATATATATATATATATATATTGAAGGACTCACAAGTGAGGAGGCTATTAAAATATCACTTGTGAGTTATTCCACATTATTTATATTGAAAAAATATGACTAACTTATAAGCGTGGGCTACTCCTCTTTCACCCATTGATTTTTGGATGGAACATCACTGTAGTGCACCTATGCTCACCTCTTATGGTGCGCTTCATCTGCGTGGGACTGCGCACCCTCTTGCCCTATTATCTAAATCTTACAATATTGAATGATATATGTAAGTTCAATAAGTATAAAAAAATCATATTGCAAATATTTTCTTTATCTATTTATTGTGCATCTCATTAAGTATTTTTGTTAATAAATTAATTTAGTTTAGGGATATAATCAAACCTCTTATAATCGCATAAATAATAATAATAATAATAATAATAATAATAATAATAATAATAATAATAATAATAATAATAATAATTTTAATACTTTTTTTAGATAATTAATAGGTCAGGATCCTTCAAGCTTATAAAAACTACATTATTCATTACATTTTATGCAATAAATATAATAATGAAGTTGATACTTTTATAATGTTCATTTTTCCCAATAACAATTTTTTTAAAATGTGATACTATTATCAAACTTATAATATTAATATTATATACATACATATAACTTATAATAATTTAAACATTCGTGCATGTGCACAAAATTAAATACTAGTTATAACTAAATGTTACACATATTAATACAATTAATGTTTTAGACATAGCTAAATGTTAGACATGATTTTATAGCATATTATAAAACACATTCACTTATATTATATAATGTCATTTATTGTTTTCTATTGTATTTTGAAGTATGTCGTTTAAGTATAAAAATATTTTGTATATGATGAAATAATATTGTTGTCCAATAGAACCCAAAGAACACCTACCAATTATTAAAAAAAAACACACGCAAAAAAAATGACATTTCAAAATATAAATATATATTTTTTTATTTAAAGAATATAATAAATCGTCTTTTCTAACCATCATACTTGTTGTCTTATAACATAATTTTTAATCTTTCAACTACCTTCCTTTTGTGTGCTCGTTCACGAGACCATTTATTGCTAGAACTAGGCTTTGCCTTTGTATATTGCTATGTGTCTTAGTAATGACTCCACTTATTGCCACATTTCGTTACTCTGCATGAAGTTCGATTATTCTCTTATAATCTATTCATATTCAACTAACTACTTTTCAAAAAGTACTATTAAACAAGAGAAAATGGACACCATCACAGAGCTGTACGTTTNATTTTTCTATTTTAATTTTATGTCCAAATTTATTATTTTAATAGGGTGACACATCGTGTTATATCGTTGTGCTCTTGTTTCACTACCATTTTTTTTTGTTATATATCTTATATCTGATACTAAAATGAAACTAAATTTAATTTCAATAATTTTTTTATTTTATACTTTTCATGTCGTATTTCGCATCTTATTGTGTTATTCTTCTGTGTAATCGTGTCTTATTGCGAGAGAATAGGAGGTAAATTTATAAGCTTTTTCCCCTAAAGCATTAATTAATTTATCTCTTCAATTTCACAACAGTCAACAGAATATTCTTGTATTATAAATCTCTATCTATCAAGAAAAGCTAAGAAAATTATTATTTTATTTTGATAAAAGGAAATTTTATATTGTCGAAATGAGTTGTATAGACTCTAGCTCACATGAATGGCTCAACCTCAATCCGACACTCTGCATTGTTTATTCTACAGTAAGCCACTCCAAATTCTTCAAATTTTCTGCATTTTATTCTCATATCCAAACGCAAAAGATCAAACTTTTGAGTAAACTAAATTTGACGACAAGTGATTCTTGANGCCCCAAACCTCTCGACCATCAACTCAACGATCAACGGCACCAAATCCTCGCACGGCACCCCTTTCTTATACACCTCCCCTAAATTCGACTCGCTCCCGACCCTCCCCCCGAGAAAAACATCCACCCCCTCGACCAATTTTCCGTTTTTGCCCCTCGTCATGCACCCCATGAACCCCACATCCGCCACCTGTACCTGCCCGCACGAATTCGGGCAGCCCGTCCAATGCATCCTAACGGGCCTCTCGACCCAAACGGCCCGTTGGACCTCCTCGGTCACCCGCAGGGCCCGAGCCTTAGTCTCGATAATAGCCTGCCCGCAGAACTGGCTGCCCGTGCAAGCCACGAGCCCCTTCATCAAGATCGGGGGCTCAGGGGTAAAACGGTCTTTTAGTATGGGCTCGCTTAACAGGGCCTCGACTCTCGAAGTGTCGACGTTGGGGATTATTACGTTCTGCTCGACCGTGAGGCGAAGCTCGCCAGACCCGTACTCGTCCGCCACGCGGGCCAGCTCGTCCATTTCGTCAGCCTGGAGTCGGCCCACTGGCACGTGGGCCCCCACGAAGGTGAGGCCCGATTGCTTCTGTGGGTGGGGCCCAAAGTAGTCCCTCCTCTGCCAATTGCTGTCGATTAAGTCCTCGGGGGATGCTCGGTCGAGCTCCTTTCGAGGCATTCTTTTCACCACTTCATCTCTAAATCCTTCTATGCCCTGGGGAAAATTCATCGTCATCGTCATGGAAACATCGAAAAAAATGCAGTATTTATTTCTTAGTGATTGCTGATCAACTGAATATCGAACAAAATTAATCACATTTCAAACTATAAACGAATCAGGCTATGTTTGGTAACTAAATAAGCTAGCTACAAGTTTCCTGTATTCAAATAAGCTTCGTTTTGATTTTGGTAGGACATACTTTTTTAAAAAACTCGAGCTTATCTCATAAGCTTCTTTGGGTAACTTTTGATCAAATAAGCTCGTTGAAATTTTTATTTTTAGCTAAGTTTATCTGCTAATTTTACCAAACACTTTTATCACATAAACTACTTTTTCAGCTATAAGTCATAAACTATAGCTATAAGCTCAAAATTTACTTATTAGCTAGAACCGAACATAGCCGTAGTTTTCTCGAATTTATCGATCACTCACAAGTTCATCAATAAGCCACATCATTCTGGTTTTCTGCCGGTTCCCTCTAAAACCGAGGTCTCTGAAAGTTTCGAGTATAGCTCCGCAAACGGGAAGTATGTCGTCTCCCGGGATCCACGCGTCAAGTGGGATTGCCTCGGCACATCTCTTGGCACTGAAGAACCCTCCCACGAGAAGATTAAATCCAAACCGCCCGTTTTTCATTGCCGGCATGTAAGCAAGATCGTTGATGTGAGGATGTTCGTATAGATCGTGCGAACCTACCACACACACATTCCACTTTCTCGGCCTGCAAAAATACGTAAGAATTTCACCGAAAACAACAAAAAATGCAGACATCGAATTAAAAGGATTTTTAATTTACAAGTTAGTAAAAGCAGGATTGCCACGCGAATTAGCGGTTATGTACTGAGACAGCAAATTGTTGTATGGCCTCGTGTCGATTATCTCGTGCGGGTCGACACCTGCAAACGGGTTACCAACCGGGTTTCGAACATTGTCCATTCCACTCTGCAAGCTCGTGAGCCCGACTTGTTCAAGCCCGTTTAGAATTTCGGGCACGTCAGGCAAGACCACGCCACGTATCTGCCAGTTTTGCCGAGTGGTGATGTCAGCACAGCCATCTTTGCCGTATTTTCGGATGATGCTGGCTAAGTATCGGGTTTGGGCGCTTGTAGTAATGCCGTTCGGGAGCTTCAGCCTCATCATGAACCGGCCATCTGATTATCAGGAACAACATAATTTTATCATCATCCCCAATNATTTATTCTTTGAAGAAAGAATAAAAACAAATTTGCAGATCAATTCGTTCAACCACAAGTCAATTAATCGATTTCATAAATACAACACAGACACAGAGAATTGGCTAAGTTCGTCGAGATTTGATAAAAAATAAAAACTCACACTGGTGCTTTCTCCTGTGAAAGAGGCCGAGCCATTTGAGCCTGACGTCAATATCGTCCTTGCTGAGCTTCGATTGCTCGATCTCCTCGAGCGGGATTTTCGCGAGCTCCTCAATTCCATTCTCCATGAACAATTTCATCGGCTCCTTCTCGATCTTCAACTTCTCCTGAGGGTTTATCCCCTGCCTGAACTTCTCCTTCAGCACGAAGTACCCTCCCTTCTCCTCCACTCTCGGCTCCAGCCTCCCGGCGTCGACTTCCGACGCGGCGGAAGGCGGGTGGGCCACCGTCTGAGGCGGGGTGGCCGCCTGAGCCCGGGTGCCTTTCCTGGACCTGTTTCTGGTGTTCGGCAAAGAGGGAGAGAGGAATTTGACGGAAAGTGATGCCATGTTGGGTTCGAGCTAGGAAGGTTGATTTTAACAGCTGCGGTGGCGGTGGCGGTGGCGATGGCGGTGGAGGGAAGATGAGGTGAGGTGAGAGCATTTTTGTAGTGGAGAAAGGACTTTAAATTTACGAAATGGTGGTCTCTTGAATATGGCTAAGGGTCATTCATCTATGTAAGCTTATTAGTTATTATTAGAGGCGACAGTTAAATTTGTGTTTCCCAATATGCCCTTGTCATATTATGTGGTTCATATTCTTTTTACTTTTGTCTTCTTGCCGGGTAGGCGGTTTGTGCTTTTATTTTGATATGGAGATGGGGATAGTACAAGTCATTTGGATTTACGGATTATATTAGTAGTTGGTTAATTTATTAATTATATCTGTTTAAAGATAATTAATTATTTCTCAATGGTACAATTATAAATACTATTGAATATTTTGATATTTATATCTATATATATATATATATAAAGAGGAGCAACAAAGTATTTAATTTTATTACCATGCATCAAATTTTATTCTCGCATTGAATTTCATTTTTAAGTTACAAAATAACTTATTTGAATGCCATAAATTATGAGCATAAACCAATCAAGGAAGTTATAAAAT